TCGGGAAAACACACAATAAAAGCACACAATAAAAACATCCGTAAGTTATACATCGTTTAGAATACGCGTTACATTGATGCCACCAAGTTCTCACAATTTCTAACAATCAAATTCAAACAAATTCTAACCAAATTCTAACAACAAAGTTCTAACAGTAATTGTATTATATCCAAATGATTACAGTGTGGAAGAGTCAAAATAACACAGTCTAAAACAATGGACTGGTTTATGGATTATGGCCTAAGAGTGTGGTGCTTTGCTTATGAATTGTGTTGCAGTGGGTGTTCTCAGCCCTCTGGAAACGAGTATAATTTAATGGTGATTGCTATGTTTTTCTTACATTTCGCGTATACCAGTATCAATTTTGTTGTAACTTTGTTGTACTTTTATTTTACCTTTGAACTTGCTGTACCTTTCCTGCTTGGACCTTAAATGGTTCGCAGTATATGATAAATAAAATAAATAAATAAATAAATAAATATTCTCCCACGTCATGTAACCTTAATTGCGAATATTGCGAATATTTTTGTTGTCACAAGCCCTTTTGTTCAAATATTCATTATAATGAACACTCTATGTCAATATGTGTTTTGGCGTGCGTATATTTGCAATGGTCACTCTTAACGATGACGATAGTTATAGCGCGAAAACAAAACGACGACATAACTCGCGCTATAACTATCGTCATGCCATACCAACTAGCCCAAGCTGCCACACTTCTAAGTCACTCTTAAGCTATAGATATTAAGCTTGCTGGCGTAAACACGCGTTTTGGAGACAATATTACCAGCGATGACCGCTTGGGTCTCTAAAAACCTGACGCTGAGGCTGCTCTTTACCTCATATTCAAGGTCAAAAAACAGGTGTGATGCCGCATTAGGTTTCGAGACTCTCCCGGAACCCGAGAATAGCTGAAGGTCAAGGTGCCTCCTCATGCGTAGGAGTGTTCGAGTAACCCAGAAGAGCTTGTATATCTTGTAACTTCTTTGATATGCCGAACGTCGTGGTGTTTTCAACGAAGCTCTGGTGCAGCTCCCTCATGAAAGAAATCTTCGCGAAACTGCTACAAACAGTTTCACAACAAAGAATGCTTTTTCATGAGCAAATGTGACATTTTGGTAAATGCGAGTTTTATTCATTTCCTGCACTTTAGGACCCTGTGTGCAGTACAATGCACACAATGATGTGCGAAAGCTCTTCACTTTATAGGTAACATTTTTTCCTTGTGAGTATGCGAGTGCATTCCAATATTGCGTTTAGATCTCATCTGTACGCTATGCGTACGCTACGAGTGGGATACTGATACGGAGTTGCTAAAGCGCATTACCAACAGTGTTAATAAAAAACATTTTACGGCTTAAACAACTTCTCGTTGACTGCTGCCATTATTAGCAGTATAAGCTTTTGTGTTCGACTGCAAGAATCATTTTGAACATGTTTGTACCTTTACTCGCTCTGGTATTCGCATATTCGCCCCATGTAATAGCGACAACGGCGACCTGGCTACACAGCAACGCTTACGTTTCCGAATTTACACCATCCGGATAGCAATACGAAATGACCGATCTTGTGGTAAAGGTGGTGGTGTCGCTCTTCTTCTTCCTTCAAACATAAAATTTTCTGTGCTCCCTGCAACGCCAATGTCGAAGTTACTTGCTGTAAACTATGTTTAAAGGACCATCTTTGATTGTTAGTGTGTGTTATAGAGCTCCTGGTTCTCCAATAGAATTTTTAGGAAAACTTAGCTTGTTTATGCACGAACAAGACTTCGGCCCCTGGGAGATTGTGATCATGGGAGATTTCAAAGCTCCCGGTACTGATTGGCGAGTTGCACCGGTCATGATCTGGCCAATTGTAGGCAACCTGTATCTCTTTCAATATACCTTGGTCTAACTCAAATCGTACATACACCTACCCGAAACACATCTGTCCTTGATCTGTTCTTTTTAAGTTATCATGTAGTTGAAACTGGTTTTCAGTGCGATGCAATTGATGGTATTTGCGACTACAAAGCTGTGTTTGTTTCAATTCCCTTTTCATTGAGTAAAACGCAGCCCAATATTACTCGTTTTTTTTATTTTTCTTGTGCTGATGACGAGTCAATAACAGACACTTTGCATGCAAATTTGATTCTTTTTTGGACATTCGTGCTCGCAAAAATGTTGATAACTTTGTGAAGAATTCATGTACATAGGTAAACTATGCATTATGAACTTTGTTTCTTCAAGACTAAAGAAAGAACCCCAACGTCCCTTGGATAAATTGCACTCTACTGCATGCATCACATTGTGTTCGTCGTCTGCGCCGCCAAAAAAGCAAGATTCTGACAGTATTGTTCGCTTTATTAGTGCCTTGCAGCAACTACGTATCGAACTGCGAAAAGCAATAGATGGTTAATTTTTAGTTGAACCTCCATGATTACTTCAATTCAACTCACGCAAATTTAGGACTTATATAACAACAACTAAAAGTGATACCGTATCGTTTATACTAGATTTTAATATTTTTAGACCCACTTGAAATAGCTAACACTTTCAATGTCTACTTTCAGTCTGTTTTCACGCATGATAACAGTTTTCTGCCGGTAATCAGAAGCACCAATCCTGAGCTCGCTATTGACGATGTATTGATTAACGACGACGGCATCCTGAACAAGACACTCAAGTTAGACAGAAAAAAAGTCCACTGGTCCCGACGGCATTCCAAACAGTTTTCTGGTGCGATGCTCTTTCTGGTTTGTTTGTTATTTGTCAATCACTTTTCTGAAATACATACTTTCAAGCACTGTCCGCAAGTCCTGGAAACTAGGCAAAGTCTTGCCCTTGCGCAAATCTAGCAACAAATGATTCCTGTGCGAGTGCAGAGCAATATCACTTACTTCGAAATCCAGTAAACTGCTTGAGCATATCATTCACAATCATATAACGGAATACCTTGAGTTGAATAACCTGTTTTCAGACATTCAACATGGTTATTGTTGTAGTTTCAGCACAATAACACAACTTGTCGAATTCGCACACGACATTTCCAACAGCCTTGACATTGGCAATCTGATTGATGCGTTATTCATAGACTTTTCCAAGGCTTTCGACACCATTAAACACAATAGGCTGCTAAGGAAAACTGGCGCTATCTTAAACAATCCTTCAATAAACAATTGGGGCCATCAATAAGAAGCCACAACTCCGTCTTTATGATGACGACTGCGTCTTATATGAAACAAGTTAACCTCCTAGGGATCATACCATACCTCAAGGTTCTTTCACCAGCTTTTGTACATGGTGTAGGCATCGGCAGATGCGCCATAAATTTAAGAAAGCAGTAGTGGCATCTTTCACCAGCTTTTGTACATGGTGTAGGCATCGGCAGATGCGCCATAACTTTAAGAAAACAGTAGTGGCATCATCCACTAACAGGCACCCCCCGTTGCCGCATGTGTACGATTCCGAGAACAGAATTATTCCCCGGGTACAAGAGTACAATTACGTTGGGGTTATCTTATAGCACAATTTATAATGGTCGCAGCGTATTGATTACATCACATCCAAAGCGCTGAAAAACCAACCTGCGTCGTGCGTCACCTAAATCTCCGAAATGTCCTAAGTTACTGCTGCATAAATCCCTTATACGCCCTATAGTGGAGTATGCTTCATGTGTCGGGATCCCGTATAAAACATGAGATGTCAACAAAGTTGAATCTGTACAAAGGAAGGTGGTTCGCTTCATTTGCTATTGCTACGATTGTAAGTTTTCACCTTCATCAGCAATGAATTCCTTGCAACTCCCTCTCCTATTCACCAGATGGAATGGTGATTCTTGAAGCTATTGCATTTATTTCTTCACTCATCATAGACTATCTTCTGATGATTACATCTCATATGCTAATACTATTTGAACTTGACGTTACCACGGCGTCAACTTAAAGCTTTTCTTTACGCACACGAAAAGTTCAAAGAACGGGTATTTTCCTAGAGTTATTGAAAGGTGGAACGAATTACCCGGTAGCATTCGTGAACTGTCGTTGTCAGATTTGGTAAACGCACTGTTATAAGTCATCATTGTTGCTACTCTTTCCTATGATTGTTCAATATTGTAATTAGTGTATTTTGTTCTTGTAAATAATCCCCACTCCTGCAATAGCCTTATATAGTGCTACAGCACCTAAAATAATAATAAATAAATAAATAAATTAATTAATTTTATTTAATGAAATGAGTACTTATATATATAATAAATAAATAATAAATAATAATTATTTACTGTGGTCTGAGGGCAATAACAAGGAGAGTCATGAAAGAAGTCTCGCGTACTGGTCATTTTTTTTATTGGAGAGTAAAACTCAATAAATTGGCAACTGAAGCATCATCGCAGAATATCAGGCAATTTACAAAAAAAAGCTGGTTCATTCAACATTAAAAGTACTGCAACTTTCAACTGCTAATAAAATATAAGATAAGAGTTGCTACACGTGACTTTCCACTCTTACGCCTCCTTTTACAGAGATAGGGTGACCCTCTTGGTGGTTAAATTGGCATGTTCTAGGAGAGTACCCTGACCCATTTATTAATAGTAAAATGATTCTTTTGCGCATGATTACACTTCTAAAGGAGTCAAGCTATTCTTGTCGATGACACTCTTTCATGGGTGGTGTGGCACCCATGAAGCGTCAAGCAACTCTAGAGCTTATTTAGGCGACCATGCTCTACATCTGCTCGACTACTGCTGCAAATAGTGAATCTGTTTAGGCAACTCCAATAATACTTACCGTTGTGCCCAGCAACTGGCAAAAATAATAGTTCGATTTTGGAAATACTTTAATAAAACCAGTACACACAACACACCATGTCTAACAGAGTAAACGAGAAAGCTTCAAAAGATTGTGTGGGCATTTCAATGGAACGGTATACGTATTTCTTATTTGCATGCTCGTATGAACATAGCCAACCGAAATAAATGACAGTGATAAGCACAGTGTCTTGTCGTGCAAAATGAACTTCAGATATTGGCATCGTGTTGCAATCTTTATTTCTCAATACTATCAATAAAAATTGTGGATGCTGAATAATAAGACTTGCTGAGTTGTCATTCCTGTTCAGCGTGAGCATCTATGAAAGATAGGAACCTTGAAAGAAGTAGGTCATATCGTGATAAAAAATGGAATCAAAGGGGGATGTGCGAAACCTAAGCAATGAGTGATTTACACAGACATAATGAATGCTCACGACAACAAATTCAAACAACTACCGTAAGGAATTAACTGCTTTTGCTCGTATCGTGCAAAAGACAACTTTCAAATGAGCTTTTGTAACATCTCACTTGGTGCAAACTCGCAGCGCAAGTGCTGTGAGCTTCTTGTATACTACAAACGCAATTTTCATGGGCTCCTTCGAGCTGTTTGTTTGTAACCTGCCATTCATGGCACGTACGCACTCTGGGGAATGGGCCAAGAAAACATATAGTATTTATGGACTACGGACTACATAGTATCTGTAACTATGGACAGTCTCTGCACTATTGCTTACTAAAAAATGAGGCACGAGGAGGAAGACATAAAAATATATAGAGAGAGTGAGAAATAAAGAATAAAAGAGAAAGAAAATAATCACTATCATATTACCGACAACCCCATTTTTGGAGCCGACATGGCCGCTAAGTTCACTAAACCAGAATATTTTGGGATGTATGTCTCATATTTACTCACAATTTAGAATTTACTTCCTGACTTCTTTTTTTCTAGTATTTCACGTAGGTAATATGTTGGCTTTCGTTTAGTGGCTCGAATGAAATTACACACCGCATCTAGTTCATCTCTGTGGCAATGATTCAAAACGGAGGCAACACAATTTATAGCAGTTTCTTTGGTTAAACTTAAGCCTAGCTTCGCAAAGGGAATAGCTAGTAGTCTTTTCGTGAGTATTGCATAGTCACGACATGATACAAAAGAATGTTTCGATTCTTCACAGAACGCACGAAGGGGAGAAAGCATCAGACCAGCTATGTCTGGAAAAAAATTAAATGGAGGGTGATGGCACCGGAAACTGGAAATAGTAAGTTCAAATTTTTTATACTGACTCCACTGAGGTTTGCATGGAAATTTGAAGTGCTGATAACCTGTTCATTTGGTCATACTTTCCAACATATCTGGGAAAATAGCCCATTTTCTAAATCTAACTCCTGCTTGGTAGTCCCACTTTCGGATGTACTGAAATTATTGGTCCATCAAGTGATGTTTGAGTCATAGAATGTGCCAGTTCATTTATTGTAACCAGCAGTGGCCTGGGACACACAGTAACTTCAGGAGTTTAACTGTGGCCGTGCTAATGTGCGGAACGCAACTAGGGCTCGCGATTTTTCTGATGCTGTCAGATCTCCGCACTCCTAAATAGAATCTGTTATGATGATTGCACTGGTTTCGTTTGAAGAAAGTTTGTGCCACTCACCTCTTTTTCTACGTCGTCTCTTTCAACTGAAGGAAATGTATGACCAGCTGTGTATTCCTCGTTGACAAAGTGAACGACGCTGTTGGTTTCCCTATGATCAGGGTCGTCAGACCGCAGCGACAGTTTTGCTTCACCGAGTGTGACTATCACCTGGAGTGAAGACACTGTAAAAGCGATGGGGGAGACTGATACTAACACACACGCCCACATATACTAAATAAGTTTAACTGTTGAACACACTGTTACTGTAAACTCGCATTGGACACGAGTGTTTCATTCAAAATACTTTCGCGAAGAAAACATCTTTTCAAGTAAAAGAAGGCAAAGGCCCCACTTTGCAAAAGACACGGGCTACACACAAACGTGAAAAAACTGCTTTTATTTGAAATTGCTTCAAAGTTTCCTGTCACATTGAAGCCCCAGTCTATTCCAACTACCAAGCCCGTTTTCTGAGAGTCAGGGGCACGCCTTGAGCGGTTACTGACCACCGATGTTACAAAAGCGGCCCATTTTTAAGAGTAGTCACTCACTTGCGAGTATATATGCCCTAACGACAGCGAGGCGTGTGGACGCCGCCGAAATTGATATCATACTTGACATACGCTAGAATTACTGTACATACCTCTCACAGTAACGTATACTTACACAATTATTTTTCACCATAATGCTGACTACGATTTGGTCCTTGTAGGAAGGGCACTGATTTCGCATACTAAAGAAGAAGTTCACTACAAAATATCAACACGGTTATACCAAGGAATCTACAAAACTTCAGACATAATGCAGGAGTGTAATATGTAAACAATATTTGCATCATATTACGAAGATAGAATTAATATGAGGAAGAGATTTATTCGAGGTGAGCTAGAGCTGGCACACACTGGTGGTGATATACAGATGAGGAAATTATACAAATGCTGATGACTCGTCCAATTGATAAAGAAGAGTCAGTGACTGCGCCCACACTAATTCCCCGTCATGCTGGAAGCGGCCTCCTGGTCGTGCGAGAGACAATATTAGGAATTGCGTCGGCTGTACAGTTTCAGCCGAGAAACGTGCACAATTTCTGTCTCACGACAACGATGGTCGGAGGGAGCGTTAAGTGGTGAGATACGGTAATTAACGGGGGACGTTTGTTCAATCACCGTAAAAGGCCCTATAAAACAACTGAGGAATTTTTCACATAAGCCGGGCACACGCACAGAAGTTCACACGATGAAGTTCACAGAAGAACTTCGTCTCCTGGGGAAAAGGTGACAGCACGGTGTGTTGAGTCATAGCGAGACTTGCGAGCTTCCTGAGAGATGCCGGTGTTGATTCTGGCCAGATGATGGCAGTGTTCGAGGCGAGACAAAAATTGTGTGGATAAAGAGCTTGCTGAGGTAGTAGGGGCCGAAAGGAAGGAGACAGCCAGAGTTACATTTGGAGAGCGGCCATGGACCAGAAAATAGGGAGAAAAGCCGGTGGTGTGTTGCGCAGCTGTATTGTAGGCCAACGTTACGAATGGCAAAATGGCGTCCCAGTTCGTGTGGTCAGGGTTAACGTACACGGCAAGCATGTCCGACAGGGTACGATGAAAGCGTTCCGTGAAGCCATTTGTTTTAAGAATGATAAGTAGAAGTTGTTTTGTGGATGGTGTTGGCGGCACGTAGAAACCTCAGCAACAATAGAGGAAAGAAAGACCTTGCCACGGTCACTGAGCAGAACACGTGGAGCTGAAGCTAAAGCAGACGGTGGGGCGCAGGAAGAGCAGCGCCCATGAAGATCCTCACGAACGATGTCGCGGACCGGGCACGGACGTCGAGGGCCGCAGGAAGACGAATGTCCGAGGCATCATGGCAAAGACGAAGAAACTGAAGTTCTAGTCTCTGGCAAATGGTGACGAGATATTGAGTCGTGGTAGGGTTTTGCGACGCAAGGGAGTTGAATGCGATGGTATTTATGCTTTTGATAATATGGCGTATTTGTTCGCTTTGAGGCATAGCTGAATTTACACGCTTGCACAAGGCAAGAACGTCCTCAATGTACGAGGTGTATGATTCACCCGCCAGCTGAATGCGTTCAGCAGCTTCTTTGTTGCTTCTTCGGCGCGAACCCTGGGGGAACCGAAAATCTGACGGAGCAGCCGTGCGAATGTGTCCCAGTCGGGAAGATCTTAGGGGTGGTTCGAAAACCAGGTTTTGGCAACATCAGTTAGGTAGAAAGGGACCGTACGCAAATTGTGTAGAGTATCCCACCTGATCAACTCGCTGACGAGGTCGTAGGTGTGTAGCCATTCTTCAACGTCATCCCCTTTGAGACCCGAGAATACTGGTGGATCACGTTGGTGGCTGTGGATTACCAGGGTCGACGGTGAAAGCTGCACTGTGCTTGTGGCGTTCGAAGTACCAAAATTGTCTTGCACTGCCATGGCAGGTGGTAGTAGATGATGACCCGAGCGGAGCTCCGGTGGAAACGTGCGAGAGGACTTAGGGATCGAGAAGCACCGTCCTCCACTTATGAGGAAGAGCTTTATTCGAGGTGAGCTCGAGCTGGCACACACTGATGGTGATATCTACAGATGAGGAAATTATACAAATGATGATGACGCGTCCAATAAATAAAGAAGAGCCGTTGACTGCGCTCGCAATATGGTAATATAAACATATTAAGAGTATGATACAAATATTAGGACATAGGTACGAGCAAAATTAGGGAGGTTCATTCATGGAGTTCCACTCTGACACTGTTCCTGAGAATAAAGAATATTTAAAAGTATCGGTCCTTGCGAAATGAGGGGTTAATGTATGTGTGTGATCATGACGTGTACTACACGTGGACAGGGAGGGGGCACATATAACGCGGGGTCTATGGATAAATGCTGATTATTAATGCTTGTAGAAAGTTTAGGAGGCGTGTTTTGACCAGCAGAACGTAATTTGTTATCATGAGCTGCGTGAGAATTACAGTGAGCCTAAACTTAGATGGCGCTTAAACTTAGAGTAAATAAATGGAACAGCTTTACTCTGGATTCTATACAGCATTTGAATATTGTGTATATTTGGTCCCATGTTATACAAGTGTACTCTAACTTGGGTAAAATGAATGTCGTGTATATATGTAGTTTGTACCTGGTGCTTAAACTTGGAGTAAATAAATCGATCAGCTTTAAGTCTGGATTCTGTACATCACTTGTGGAGATAGGTTCGCACTAGGCTTACCTACTAAGCGCAACCGTATAGGGATGCGACGTCCTCCACTGCCGCTGCGTGCGACGATGCTGCGGCCGGATTCGTCATTTTCTCTGACACGGCGCAGAGACCACGCACGAGGTAGGAAAACAAAAAGAACGGGTTTATTAATTAACCCAAGATGCAGCACAGTGCGACACTCACGGGCTTGCAGGCCGTATAGGGAACTCCGCAAGACCGAGCAAGTACGCTTGCTTAGGGTGCGATGACTCCCACACAAGGGCCGAAGTTGAACGCACGAACGAGAAGCCGCCTGCTGAACAGCGCGTCAACCTCTCGTGGAAACCTGAGAGCAATCTGCCGCGACGAGTAAATCGTGGGGCGCAACATAGATCGTAGGAGAGGAGGATGTCACGCGCGCCGAAAGAGAAATGGCGCTGCGTTGTGACGTAGGCCCGCGCAGCGTAGCGTGCCTGGACATGTCAGCGCGGGACGGAGCCGAAGCTTGACTTGCCCCAGACTAAGAGGCGCCTGGCAGCCATCTTGGCGAATGATGGTGATTATACGCGCCTGGGCTACGCGGTCGGCGCGCGCGTGGCAGCTGGGTAATGAGGCGCCTGGTAGGGGGGCGCTCACGATTCCCACATCCCCCTCCCCTATTAAGACCAAGGCCACCCGAAAGATCCGTAATAAAAGCTTCCACTGATACCTTTATTCGAAACAACTGAGGTCCAGCTCAGTGCCGTTCACGAGATTGGTGGGGATCCCGGCGTCTTCGTACGGTGACGTCTCAGCAAAAACCGGGGGCCACGGGAGGGCGGCGGACACCGCAGCAGCGATGGCCGACTTGAATGAAGAGTCCGTGACGAGCGCCGCCGACTGCCTGAACGGAGTCGGTCGACAGGGCAGGTTGAAGGCCTAGCCCAGTCGGCACCGCCGGAGTGGACAGAACCGCAGGGGCACGGCCAGACTTCGCTCGGTGAACCAGCGAACGGAGGTGGGTAGCCTCGTGCACCAGCAGAACACCACAAGCGTCGCAGTAGGAGGCCTCAGGAAAAGGCCGCATCGAGGCACCTCCGGAAGCTTCGAGCAGGTCCGAAATGGTGCGTCCGCAGAAAGGACGCGGGACGGACTCGGGGTCTAACGCCACCCAGACTTTACGTTGTTTTGACCAGCGACGAGTCGACATGAAGGCAACCAGGCCTCAGTACCTTGTTGGAACGTCCACGTAGCGACCACGACGAGGCGGTGTCTTGTTAGCCAGGGCCGGGGGACCATTCGACGGAGGCGGCATGGACGCGGCTGGTGCCTGCGGAACGACCGAGCATGCGGCTGGCCTCCCGAGCTTTTTCTTCGAAGAACGGGTCATCGAGGACATAATAAATGCTGAGGTGTGGGTGAAAATCCGAAACGCAACTGAAGGTGCGGCCCCGGAGGCACGACAGGGTGGCCCAATAAAGAGAGCCTATTCCGTCGGATTGAAGGTTGCGTGAGCCAATAGGGCGCACGCTTCCCTTCTCCCGCCGACTACGTGGAAGATGCCCAGTGAGAGAGTGAGCCCCCGGGGAAAGGGGTTTTATCTCTCGGGCAGCCAGGAGCGCAGGGAACCGGGTGGATATTCCGCGCGCAGCACGTGTAAAGATATTCCCAGGGAGAAAGCTCGAGAGGTAGCCGTTACTATTGCTGCTGAATGGGCTCTCGCCAGAGCAGCTATAATCTCCGCTCCTTTACATGGAGGGGATAACGTCCCGCTACATTCCGTGCAAAAATCAGCCTAAGTGCGTTTTCGCAGGTTGTACCGGTGGCGTGGTTTTACCAGCCTTATCCCGGTATCCCTGTGGTTCGGTGACCACCTCCCCCTCCTCGAAGTCGTTGCTGTGGGCAACGAAAGGTTTAAGGTCGGAAACGTTAACTGGACCGTCGACTGGTCTGCCTTGGGAGTCAGCCAGCTTGTATACCAGGGGCGACACTTTGGTGTGCACTCGGTATGGGCC